CCTATCATTTATCTTAAATTATGTGAAAGCATCCGAGTCCGCTTTAGGAACGTAAAAACTGTTGATCTTTCTCTCTGCCCGTTTGTGTACTTCATGTTCTGAACAGTCACTCAGGAAGTACAACATGTGGGCTGTAGTGTTAGAATGGGACTTGGTGGGAGAGATGATCTTTTTAGTCTTGCTGAAGCTGCTTTTCCTGGAAGAAAAAATTCATTAAACAGAAAAGAGAGACCATAGTCCAGTAATAAGAACATATGGGCAGGGGGGCCTTGGGCTCTCATCTCTGCTTAGCATATTTGGAAAGGGTTTAATATAAGTCTTTTCTGACTTTGAGATCTTAAAACGTGATATAAAAGTGTGATATATAAAGTGTGATATAATTGTGCCCTTCATACAATAATATTATTGCTCAGTAGGTCTTTGGATATTATATAAATGACAAAAATTAGAGCTGAAATAAGAGCGGTCTCCAAATATACTACTTTGAAGTGTGTATTGCATTTCATTGTGGGCATGCTAATGCTCAAAATCGAGCAACTTGCATAATCTATATCGTTAATGTAAGTCAGAAAAGATACTGCTGAGTGGCATGAGTGGATATCAAGTCTAATAAACTTTCTCTAACTCTCTGAGTTCAAACATACAAAATACAGAATTTTGCTGACAGGAAATTTCGTGTTTCTTGCTTGGAAGCACCGGGGAGGAATATTTATTTATTTATTTTTTTATGAAGCTGAAATGAAGTTAAGTGGCTTAAGTGATTGAATTAAAAATTCTGTACACATTTTTGAATTATAGTAGTTTTTGGCAATACCTTGTGCTTAAGTTTTATGTTCTTAGGTATTGGAGAAAGAAGGCTTCTGCTGAATGTATACATACAGTTTTTACAACTGTTTTACAGCTGTTTGATCTTCAGTCTACAAGTTAGAAGTGAAGTCTTGTAGGGCATAGGTATTGACAAAATCAACAGAAAATCATGCTTTCATAACCCTTAGAAACACTACTCTTCTTGATGAGATCAGTATCTTATGTACTGTGCATTCAGAAAACAACTTTATTTAGATAAAATCCTTTCAAATTGTTTTCAATAACATAGTTTCTGGAAAAGACATGCAGTTAGTTCAGCCTGGAGAGGTTAGTTTTTGAAAGATATGAGTTAGATGGTGATGGTGACTCTGAAGGCCTCAAAGCAAGTCCGTACCAGAAACGGACATCAAACCTAGAAGTATTAACATGTGCACGACCATCTCTCACATTACTTTCATATTATTTTTTGAGGCAAAGTACTCGTCTATTCTACTCTTCTCTGCCTGCTTGTATTTCCACACCCCTTTTGGTTTTGTGCTTGCCCCTTACCAGAATGTTTGGTTCTCACAGTCTGAAAAGAAATTATTTTGTCTGCTCTATAAGTCTGTTAAGTTAAACTTACCCCCTATAAAGAGTCAGAAAAAGAATGCTCAGTGGAACTGGTGCACAATCAGTATGATATTTTTAAATTCTCATATTGATTATTTTAAACTTTTCTGTCTAACTCAGATATTGTAATTTTCTCTAACCAATCACATCAAGTATGTTTTGCCTATTTAGGAATCTTAACATTCATACTGCTTTTTAAGCTGCTCGTGAAGTAGTACATTTCAAAGCTATTTTATTACCTGAAAATCTATAGTAATTGTACTACACAATATATTTTACTTTGCTACAGTACTACGAAGTGAGTGAACTATTCTAGGCTATACCAGGGTCGAAATTTCACTTGTAAGTTTGTGCTGAAGAATTCCTCTTTCTCCCTCTACAATAAATAAATAAATAAACAAAATCCACCCAAAACACTGAACAGCATTAATTCCTAATTGTTCAGACATTTGACAAGAAAATTGGCTGACTTGAGTTCCTAAGTATTTTTAATCCCCTTGAAGATTTCTGTGGCACTTGCAGTTTTTAATTAAAACTTGTTGCCAAAAGGAAGCACTGGAAAACAGAAAATTCGAATCCTCTATATGTCTGCAATGGATACATATAAAGGTTAAACTGGCAGAAAAGCCAAAAAAATTGTAAGTGAAATTTCTGCTTAAGTGAGTTCAGTTTTTTTCCTTTATTTCTGTACATAAATCTTAAGTATATATTAACAAAAATATTAATATATACCAAAATATTAATATTTTGTATGTTAAAAAGCAATTTTATTGGCCAGAAGACTATTTCAGCATTTATGCTGCTTCAGCAGTTCAGTTGAAGCCCACATTTAGAGAGGTTTGCAAGTCTGTACAGTGCTTAAACTAGTTGTATCTAACTTTTGCTTAGAAACATATTAATGCTTCTTATGGCATTAAAAAAAAATCTGTAAATATTTGCATTAGAAGCTGTAAGAAAAATCTCACTCCTCTGTGCCTCTTGTTCAGTTTTAGGCTCTTTTGAGTGTATACTTTTTTGTGGTTCTTATTGGAAGTATTGAGAAAAGAAACAGTTTAAATTCAGCTGAGTACATATTTGGCCAGTCTAGATATTGAAACTGCCTTATGACCATGTGAAGCAATTCTAATTGATCCTCTGCAGAAATATAAATGTATGATTTTTAATCTACTTCTTTAGCTAGGGATTCTAGAAAAATGTTGCACCACATTTTGTTTGTTGCTCCAAACGCCAGATTGGAATATTCCAGTTTTCATTTTTGTTCCCTTGTTGCAAAGCTCTTACTGCAGCTTCTACTAATCTATTTTAAATTTGCAAGGGACAAAAATTAGCCACTAATGAAACTGTGAGTGATGTTTTCATGTTTTAAATTTCATTGTCTCCTCCTTAGGAAAGTTGACACTTCGAGACAGTGCTCATAATGTTTCTTGACTACCTAGTATGCTTTTTCAGAAGAAAATGTAATTCTGTATGTACTTATATTCTTGCAATAAATCTGGTTGGAAAGGTCTTTTAAGTTTCACTTAACTCTGTCAGTTTGCAAAAATTGGCTTCTTTTGAGTTTCCTGTTTGTGATGCATTTCTGGGGCTGCATACACGAGGAGAACTTTTCATATGGAAGCAAGGCCACCAACATTGCAGCAATGGATATTGGCTGCTTGTTAGTGGGGCTGAGGAATGGATTTTGAAATCTCCCCTATCATCAAATCCTTTACTGCCTCTCCCACCCCCAGGAAGTCAGATCTTATTTTAAAATCCATTTTGACATGCTGTCCTGCTGGGAAGGTTTCCAAGAAAGAAACACTTAACAGTTTTTCTGGCCTCCTTTAAAATCTTCTTGCTCTGTATAGCTCAAAAGAGATGGGGAAACTCTTAATCCGTTTATCAGCATTCATCTCTGAAATCCCATAGGTTAATGTGTGCGAAGAAGGATTTTCTTGGAGATAAATGTAATGACTGTAATTAGTTCTTGTTGTCTCTGCTGTAACTTGAAGGCATTCAAAAGCCTCACAGTGATCTTTTGTTTGAACTTTGAACATGACTCTGGCAAAGACTTTGGTCCAGAAACTGTCCAGAGGCAATACCCATATTCCATTACTCCCGAGAAACCCTATCCCTGTGAGAGAAGTTTTTTACATTAAAATGCTTTTGAAGGTTGGGAAAAAACTGTCTTGGACAGCCATTATGCAGATAAACAAGGCATATGTAAAACAGGTTGAAATTGTTAATTTTAAGAATGTGTAAATCCCCGCATTGTATTTTGATGTTTTTAGGCATAGCACAGGAGCACTTTATTATAGGTACTTGTTTTACTGCTACTCTGCTAGTACAGGTAGGAAAAGCTCCTTCTCCCTGCTCTTCCTCGTCCTCCCTGCTCCCCCTTCTCTCCCCAACACAGCTGAATGAGGTTCTTTTATTTCTGTGCTGTATTGTGTCCAGGTTTTTAATGTCAGTCATGTGAGCCCTTTAGCAATGTTAATCACTGTTTCTGACTAAACATTTGGACTCAGAGATTTAAAAGATGAGAGCTTTCATTTACCAGATGCATGATATAACATTTGTTAAAGCTTGTTTAAAGTTGAATGGACAGGCCCAAGCACACAGGGTTAGCTTAGACATGCATGCTACAAAAATAATTTTTGTCTCAGTTTAAAAAAAACACTCCTTTGATTACTAGATTTGAATTGTATGTTTGTTCATCAGTAATGAAGCTTAATTATGATTAGCATAACTGAAAAATTGCTATAGATCTCTTTTTGCCAAGGAATTTTTTTTTAATCTGCATGATATAAAGACTTTAGGAGAATGCTTCTTTCAACTGATTCCTGGTTTCTAGAAGTAGGATTTTATTTCAGTGTGATTTTTACAGCAATTTTTAAAACAAAATCATGAACACCAACATCAAAACAAAAATACCTCAATTTGTGATGCTTATATAGGTGAAAGAAAGATTTATCTACTACCAGCTTTAAGTATACATTTCAATAATTAAATGCACAAAAATAGCCAGTTATTACTTTTGAAATATCACTTAAATGGACTGTGAAGCTAGATGAGGGGTCACTGGAAAGGAGAAACACCCAGATAAAAGGTTTGCTCTAGGGAGAACAACTGTACAAGCCAAATACTTGGGTATTTCACTGGGATGAAACAGAGATTCTGCCAACACTCTCCTTTTGATCGTGTCTGATCTTGCGACTCCAATTAAGTGGAAATTTATCACTGTGGACAGAGATCCATTTAAGGAGCAATTTGTATTGCAGGAAGAGGAAATGAATTAATTGATGGTGTTTTTCCTTATGAATCACAATTAGACCATTTTGCAGATGCTGAAGAGTTGCTGTCTCTCATCATAGGTTACTTGGTATGAGCTTTCTCACTTGATGTTTTATAGGCAAGGAAAACAGACCAAACTGATACGCTAGGGATGTGACAGCTAGGCGGCATCTTCCAAAGCTGAGTGTGTAGGTTTCCTTAATTATTACTTTAAAAAGGTGGTGGTGGTGTTGGAGAGAGAAGTTTCTTCAAATTTTTTTTCTTCATTTCAAGGTTGAATGGTTTTTAAGGTAATGTACATTTTCTTTCAGAAAACTGAGATGTGGGAAAGTGAGAAGACTGAGGAAGACATGGAAGAGTATATCTGGGAAAACAGCTGCTCACAGAAGAATGCTTTGGATACACTGCTTCAAATAAAAGCCTCAGAGAATATTACCAATGTAACTAAGGAGGAACTTCTTGCATCTGAGATAGTTAAGAATTACAAAAAGTCTGTAGTTGCACTTAAAAATGAAGGTGAAACAGAAAATAACATGTCTCAGTATAAGGAATCTGTGAAGAAATTATTGAATATACAAGCATGAAAGCAGACTATTGCAGGTATCTCTTTTGGGAAATATTATACTAATATGTGAATATTTCTATGTATTATAATTATTCAGAACCTTAAGTAAAACTGGTAATGAGGGAATTATTAATCATTTTTTTCTTTACTGCTCAATTTTCTTGCAAACATCGGTTTTGCTGTTTGTGAATCTTTTTCTTTGAATAAAGTGTCTTTTAAGTCATACTGGTGACTTGAACATGCCATTCTGTTCATGCTTAGCTTGGGAGATCCTCATTCAGTTCCTTTTAATGCTTTCTGAGGACAATCTAATCAAGTGATTTAGGCTTCCACATGACATTAACACATAATAAGAGTTAGTCTCCCTTACTGCCATGGAGTTCCCCTCACTTTGAAGTCTTAAATAAGAGCTCTAAACTTTCTAATATAGAAAGCTAATATAAATTTAATGGTTTGAATGGTGAAATGAATTGTTGGAGTACACTGCATGCAAGATTCTTGTTTACCATGAGGGCTACACAAGTACTCTAATTAAAAAGTACCTGTCCTGTAAAAAGAATGGAATGAAGCAAGGCATAAAATGGAATGCCTATGGAACTAAGCATTATTTACAGGATGCCAAGGTATGTTGAGAAAGAAAAATGGTGGCAGTTACTGAAATACTCAAATCACTTTGTGAGCTCTGTTGACAAGGCAGGTTACTTTAAATAAGAGTGGTCTGAGTTGTGGTACTAACAAGTTCTCTCTCTAATGAAGTTACGCTTTACAATGAAAAGATGTCTGTAGTTTCAAACCTAGTGCTGTGTAGCCCCGAGAAGAAATCATTTTTCTTCTGGTAATTTACATGTGAAATGAATTGATTTGAAACTTTTTTATTACAGTTAACGTTTGTTTTGTTTCATTAGTAAATAATCATAAAATATCATCATAAAAGGACATAACTCTACTGTCTCTTATTGTACCTTCCTAGCTTACTAAGTTTCCAACTTAGAGAGGAAAAACCTTCATTTTCTGGAAGGAGAAGAGGGAGTTTTTGCTCATCAGACTCGAGAATTCTGCACTCCTAAGAAGAAGCCTCATATGTGGCCCAGCCAACAGGTGATTGAGGGGAAACAGCATAAGAAAAAAGATACTGAAAACTGAAGAGAGGTGAATTGACTTTTGAAAAGTCATCCTAAATGGCTTGGTTCCTTCACTACTAGGGGCTCTTAGTGCTGCAGCTTGTGTAATGTTTACATGCAGTCAAAGAGTGTATGTATTAATACTTCTAAAAACATATAGTTTTTGAAGAGTTCAGGTAGAAACCCTTTTCATATGACAAGAGATCTAATTTAACTCTGTATGAATGAAAATCGTATGAATGAAATTGAATGAAAATACCTGAAGTTGCTCATGACCTTTATACCATTTTTAATTTTGCATTTACTTATTTGGTGCTGAGTGGCCTTTCTTTTTTAAATTTGTATTGATTGAAAATGTGTGTTTTATTAAAATTTCCAAGGGAATAAAATTCCGACTATTATTAGTTTGCTAGCAGATAATAATTGTTAGCAGATAATGTCCAAAATTTTCATTTGGAAAAAATAATCTCTGTAGCTCCTAATCTTTTGAACAGTCATGAAACAAAAAACGCTGAAGAAGTAACTGCAGTTTAACTTAGAGAAAGATGTGAATGGTGGTGGAGTGTCTGACTCTGTTCTGGAGGAGATGGATTTTAGTCTCTACATAAAATATGGGTGACGGGAGAGGGTTGTTTGTTTGCTTTGTTGGTGGTTTTTTTGTTTAATTAGCTTTGTCAGTGCTTCCATAAGGACTGAATTGCTAGCGAACATATAGCTTATTTCCATTTTGCAATGGAAATGTCCATAGAATCATAAAGATTGGACGGGACCTCTAGAGATCATCTAGTCCAACCCCTCTGCACATGCAGGGTCACCTAGAGCACGTGGCATAGGACTGCATCCCAGCGGGTTTTGAAGATCTCCAGAGAAGGAGACTCCACAACCTCTCTGGGCAACCTGTTCCAGTGCTCCGCCACCCTCACTATTAAAAAATTTTTTCCTTAAGTTCCTGTGAAACTTTTGGTGTTTCAGTTTGTGGCCATTACCTTTAGTTCTGTCGGTGGCCACCACTGAAAAGAGGTCAGCCCCATCCTCCTCACTGCCTCCCTTGAGGTATTTATGGACACTGATGAGGTCCCTTCTCAGCCTTCTCTTCTCGAGGCTGAACAGGCCCAGCTCCCTCAGTCTCTCCTCATAGGGCAGATGTTCCAGGCCCCTGATCATCCTTGTGGCCCTGCGCTGGACTCTCTCCAGCAGCTCCACATCCCTCTTGTACTGGGGAGCCCAGAACTGGACACAGTACTCAAGGTATTTGAGCCAAAGGTGTCAAAAGAAATCACACCTGTACTTACATGTGTTCTTGCACCTGTGCCTTGTACAGTATAGTTCAGAAATGCTGAGGAATCACAATCTAGTCAAACCCAACTGTAATCATTTAGTGGTTTATATGAGGTTTTTCACCGCCCAGTTGTCCAGTCTGTCCAGGTCCCTCTGGATGGCAGCACAGCCCTCTGGGGTACCGGCTACTCCTCCCAGTTTCGTGTCATCAGCAAACTTGCTGAGGGAGCACTCTGTGCCTTCATCCAGATCACTGATGAATAAATTGAACAGGACTGGACCGAGGACTGACCCCTGGGGGACCCCGCTAGCTGCAGGCCTCCAGCTAGACTCTGCACTGCCGATCATCACCCATGTCTTGTACTAACTGCTCTGGAGCAGTGCCCTTTCATGTTTAAGAAATCAAAGACACGATAAGCCTGCTTTCCTCTATAAGATTGTGCTTGCATACTCAGAGCACCAGATTTGCAAAGAGACTGAGTTATTTTTATGAGGGTCTCTTTTTCCTCTGTAAATGGACCTAAGCAAGGTTCTATGTGGAAGCTCTAGCTGAGTAAGAACTGGCCTTTTAATAATAAAAGCTGTCAGGAACAGCATAGTGATTTTGTCATTTGTTTAAATCAGCATTTTATAGCTTCAGAGTTAATTCATGAAAAACCTAAAAACCGTGGGCTTCTAGAGATCGTAGTGTACTGCTCAATCCCAACTTACATGTGTTCTACAAATATTTTAAGAAATGCAGACAGGATAAATTGTGGTTGTCTTTTGAGTACCAGGATACCTGAGTGTCTCTAACAAGTGGATATTTTTTTTCCTCATTGTAAGGATTTACTAGCCAAGAACAATGTTGGGACTGATTCATTATGTTCCTTAACCACATCCAGCGTTGATAATCAGAAATTGAATCACTGTCAAAGGTACTGGTTTTCCAATAGTAAATAGCTTAATGACCTGATGTGTGTGGAGCCAGCTGGCTTTAGAAATCTACAGGTTAGACCTTCAATCTTGGTTTTCTTTGTCTTACTCCCTTCCTGTCCTTTCTGAGAAACATTCAAGCAAATTAAAAATGTTTCCAGTCCTTTAAGTGGCCAATAAAACTGCTAGAACCAAGAGCAATATTAAACTCAGAGTTGCATGTGTTTGAATGAATATAAACTATACATGTTTATATATATTCCTATATACTCTTCCAGACAATCTTGGAAACTCTCACTGCAGTTTATAAACTGGTGTTAAAGAATAATCGATTTGCAAGTTAAGCTACCGTACTACACATTAAATTCATCCTTATTAATCATCAGTCATTAATATGTCATAATATAAATTACAATTCTAAAATGTGTATCCCTCTGTGTATACTTGTGCATCTGTACAATCTTCTGTTGCAGGGAAACGCTCAGATAGAAATGAATACCTTTAGGTAGAAATGGAGCTAGGTAGCATTTAAATCAAGAAGTAGCTGTGTCCTTTGTGCATGAATTGAGAAGGAAAGGGGAACAAAAAGACACGTATAGCATCTAGAGGCATTGGCTGTCTCTGTGGGCAATTATTTTACTGGTGTTTACTGTCTAGGAGGAACATAGAGCTAGTTCATGACAACCTTGACCTCGGGCAACCCTGTCCATCATAGATCAAAACCTGAGCAGGAAGGCTACTATATGTACTTCTTTGAGGTCATTATTTTAAACTCCAAGTAGCAGATATCTCATTTCAAATCCAAACACTAGCCTCCACAAACTGGAAAAGTAAGTTTCTTAAAGCAAATTAAAAACAAGTTGTCTCCAATGGAAAAAACACAAATTAAGTTCCTGGCTATCTGGAACAGTCCTGATGCATAATTTTGCTGGTGCTGTTGAAGAGGCTAACTTCTCTTTTATCTCCCGTGTAAACATTACAGAAGAGGTTGAGGTCTGCACTTGGGTCAAACTGGAAAAAACTTGCGTTGTCAGTGGTCTGGCTAATTTCTTGTATCTGTAAACACTGTATGAAGAGTTGTGGAGTAAAAGTGTTCATAGTTCCACTGTATAGTTTCCTGAGGTTGCTTGTCTGTGTTCTATGGCATTTTTGCCCTGTTAAGCAGTAGGTCACTAAGAACCCTCTTTTGCTCTCCTTAGACAAGAAAGCCTATATAGAGACACGATTCAATCTTGGACAAGGAGGGTAGATGTAACATTTGCTTCCTCAAGCACCAAGATCTGCATGTGGCTAGCTCTCTGTGAAGAAGTGGTAAACACAGGCAAGTGATCTCATGATTACCTCTAGAGAGGTAATTTACACTCCTCATTACACTTTTGCCCTGTTTTAATGTATTGCGTCAATACAAGCAGACCTAAGGGATAAAGGGACAGTTGTCGGGAGAGGCATGTGCTGTCTGTGCAGGACATGTTTTCTCCTTGGAAACTTGCAGTTTTCATTCAGAACGTTATTGCTAAGCCACTTTACATCATCTTTGAAAGGTCCTGGGGAATGGAGGAGTTGCCTGAGGACTGGAAGAAAACCAGTATCACGCCAGTCTTCAAAAATGGCAAGAAGGAGGACGCAGGTAACTACAGGCCAGTGAGCCTCACCTCCATCCCTGGAAAAGTGATGAAACAGCTCATCCTGGCTGTTGCCTCCAAAC